CCTGTCCCGCCGTGGTTTGCAGCCCCGCAGCTCGGTGACCCAAGTGGCTGCTGTCCCGTTCCTGCCCTCGGTGTCCCAGGTAAGCCTGGCGCTCCCCAAGTCTCTCAGCAGCGACAGCCGTGCTCGCTGTCCCTCGCTGAAGATGCTTCCTTGCGCCTTGGCGGAGGGCCCCGGTGCCAGGCCGTGCCCAGTGCCCAGCCTGCCCTTCCGCAGGGCCCGACCCCGGGGCTGTCACAGGGCAGGGGAAAGGGCAAGGTGGGGTCATATGGGAATAGCATCGCTGTGCAGCTTGGCATCCGCGTGGTATCTGCCTCTGCATTCCGAGAGCCAGCTGCTGCATTACTGCTCCACAACACTGGCACTCACAGAGAGCGCTGCCTCTGTGCCAGGAGCCGCTCCGCGTTCCGGGCAGGGAGCCACAGGGGGCGTGCCCGATGCGTTAGAATTTAGTGCCCGCCTTGTCCTGCCTCCTCCCTTCTCATCCCTTCTTTTCTCTTTTCGAATCTGAAGAGGCCTCAGCTGCCTCCCGTTTTCCTTCCTCTCTCACCTTCCAGGTCCTGTTTCCCAGACCTTTTTCTTTCCTTTTAAAACCCTTGATAACCCATTCCCCACTTAAGGCTTTGTTGAATCCTTGTTTTTCTACCTTGCGGCTGCTGTGGGTGAAGGTCTGGCTTTGAGGAGCACACCCTGCTCCCTCTGCTCCAGAAACCAGCCTTGCAGTTATCCCAATCTCCTGCTGCTGCTGAGGGCTTCCTTAGGCTCTAGCTGAAATGAAAAACATCCTGGAAGCTTTTCACTTCTTGAGATTAGAACAGTTTCTACAAGTCCTTGAGCTGTCAGCACGATGGTGAAAAATGCACTATGCAAATGAAGGTTTTCCCCTTCTTTCCCCCACTCCAGGCTCTGTCCCCTCTCCCTTACTTTGTCATCTCAACAACCTCTAAGGAAACCTTTCTAATCTTCTCAGTTGGCAATGCAACTGCTCTTTAATTTAGTTTTAAAATAGTTTTCAAGTCAGGCTCTGCCCATGGTATTCATTTGCATTTTGGATTAAGTTGTTTAAGAGGCTCTGTGCTGCCCTAAAGCCTTCTCCAAGGCTCAAAGAATGACCCTGGCAGGAAGTGCAGGAGCGTTGTGCACTCCTTGTTTAGAAATGGAATGCATTAAACCAGGTTCCTATAAAAGCCATCTTGAGTAAGTGAAACTAAGGCACTGGAATAACTTTGGGAAATGTTCCATTTAGGATAGACCCACCCTGCCAGAAGCTGTTTGTCTATGGTCAGTTCATGCTCTGATCAGTGCAGGGCCAGCCCCTCAAGAAATGCAGGAGCCAAACCCAGCCAGGAGAGGAAAAGACAGGAGCTGAGCTGGGAGAGCTGGACAGAGGAAATCTCACAGATGTGCCTGGAGCATGGCCCTGCCCAGCAGCTTTCCTTACAGTTCAGTGTTCAAAAAGCTGAAAGCTCATGCTCAGTGCTTTGGGATCTAACTTTGGCTTCTAACTGCAGAGGGCATGAGCTCCCTGACTGGAACTCAGGCAGTGGAGTGCCACAAGCCTGCAGCCAGATTGCTTCTCCTTCAGCTTAAATTTAGTGGGGTTTTTTGTTTGCTTGGTGGCTTTTTTTTTTTTAAGTCTTCTTAGAGTTTCAACATGTGAAAAAATAGAGCAGAAATAGACAGAAGCACCATTTGGACATTAATGGATATTTTGTTTTCGTTCTCTTCCTTTTAAAAATATATGTAGATAACATGAACATTTTAACTCTGTGGTTTGGGAGAAACACTCTTTTCCCTCTTCCTTTGGAAGAGATATGCAAGTCCTGAGACCCTGGGCCAATGCTCTGTGCATTTTATTGATGTTTTTACAACTAAACAAGGGTCTGATGAGATTGACCATGAAGACACAACTCAGGAGCTGCCGGGCAGCAGCCTCCAAACTCTTTGGGTGATGCCGATTGGAGCAGGGCGCTGGGAAGTGGGGCCATCCCAATTTCGGGCAGTGGGACTCGGAGCTGGAGCGGTTTGGAGTCAGCACCGGAGCCTGAGCTGCCTCTGTGCTCAGAGAGGGGAGAGCCCTTCCTCTGCAGGGAATGCTTTTCCACTCGGGGTTTCTCTCCTGGCAGCTCCAGTCTCGCCTCTTCCAGAGGAGAGGACGCTGTGCCCCAGTGCTTTGCTGCTGGGAGCACTGGGAGAGATCCTGGAACACTGGGAGGGAACTGGGAGCACAGGGAATGGCAGGAGGGAACTGGGAGGGAGAGTGGAAGCAGCAGGAGTGAGCAAGAAGGAGCACTGGGAGGATCTCAGGAGCCCTGGGCAGGAATGGTGCTCCCAGCTCCTGCCCAGGGCTCTCCCCATCCCTGCCGGGCTTGCCAGGAAGAGGGACACTGGCAGGGAACTGGGAGGGAAGTGCTCAGCACTCTGCAAGGTGCAGCAGCCCCAGCTGTCATCTCTCCCTGGCCTTTTCCCGATCCTCGAGCCTTTCCTGCTGTGTTCTGTTGCCTGCCCAGGGGCAGCAGCAGAGGCACAGAGCAGTTTTGCTGCCCCTGGCCCAGCCCAGCCCAAGAACCCCTACCATAATTCACTGCTGAGAGCCCCAGGAGCTCCTCCCAGGGGGGCCGGGCTTCTTTCTTATACCACGGGTTTTACGGGAAAGAACCGTGCTAACTGACTGGGCGTGTCCTCTCCCTTCCTTCCCCTTTCCCGTGCCTCCCTGCTTCCCGCACACTGTTAGCTCATAAACGGCAAAAACAGCCCACCCCACATCGGCTCCGTGCCTCAGGGGCAGCAGCGGAGCCCGCAGCGTCCGGCCGGGAGCGGAGCTCGGCGGCCCCAGCCCAGGTGGGACCCGCGGTCGGCGCTGCCCCAGCCCGGGGGCAGCGCTGAGGGGCACGGGGGGTTCTGGCGAGTTCCTTGTGGCGGCTGCCCCCGTGTCCCCCCTGCGCTGGGATGGCCGAGGGAGCGGCTGCCCGCGGTCACAGAATCACGGCTGGGGTTGGAAGAGACCTCCAAGATCATCGAGTCCAACCCAGCCCTGATACCTCAACTAAACCCTGGCCCCCATATCCAGTCTTTTTTTAAACACTTCCAAGGATGGTGACTCCTCCGCCTCCCCGGGGCCGAGCATTCCAGGACCTTATGGCAGCAGCTCTCTGTCCACAGACAGCAACATAACTTTAGCAGGCATCGGCCTGGGATAGGCTGTGCGAAGATCAGAGAAAAGACTGACAAACAATTCTTATCTTCACTTGCTGCACCTGTTGTTTTGAAAATGTGGAATGTGTTACGGAGATTTGTTTACCGAAGGGTGGTTTCTTAATTAGCTGGAGGTATTTGGACTGAAGGACCAATTAGGTCCACCCTTATTAAGGGTGATAGGTTCCTGAATAAGTTTCGAATAATCAAGTGATTGATCAGGCTGCATCAATCACGGAGTCAGTGCTAATCATTTCGCAACTGGGGGCCTGCCGCAACAGTACTGTATCACTCTTCATGTAAAACACTTTTTTCTTAATATCCAAGCTATCTTTCCCTTGGTGAGGCTTAACACTGTGTCCTCCTGTTCTGCCAGTTGCTGTATAGAGAAAGGGACCAACCAAATGTGACTACAGCCACCTTTCAGGCAGTACCCGGACAGGGAGCTGAGCTCGGTGTCGCCGGGCTGCAAGGCGCCGGGGCAGGGAATGCGGGGACAATGGCGAGCAGCCGGCGCTGCTGGCTCCTGGCCCTCGGCAGGCGCACTCGGAGCCGTAGCTGCCCCGGGCCAGCAGCAGGCGGCAGCTCGCAGCGCTGTCAGCGCCTGTCCCGGCACGGGGCTATTTGCACGCTGTCGCCACGTTTCTCTTCCCAGAGAAAAGCAAGGCACAATTCTTCTCAATAATATTTCTGAGATTCACATTATCTGAACCTCAGAGAAAAAAAAAATTACGAACACTTTGTGTCCCCATGTTTGTGCAAAAGTAGAATGCAATATGGAGATTGTTTATTGAGAGTGATGGTGTTTTGTTTCCTTGTTCTGTCAGGGCTAAGCATGTGTGTTTGTGTCCGGACACTCAGCTGACAGACACGAGACACACGAGATTCTGTGCTGTTGTGTGCAGGGTTGAGTGCTTGGCAGATTCAGTTTAGATGCAAAGTAATATACTATAGAATAATATGTGATTATTGTAATTCATTCACTTTCTGATATCAATGGAGTCCTCATAATTTCTGCTTTTGATGACGGTTGTCTTGTTTCAATAACACAGTTAACTTAAACTATTTTTTCTATATACTGTTACATTTTAGAACTACATGTATATTTTAAAGCATTTTTAAGAATTCAGACAACTTTGAATTTACATGCTGTTTTATTTTTTATAATTTTTTACTTATCTTCAGGCCATCTTTTGCCTTAAACTAATATATTTTATGTTTTCTTATGGTTCTCTCTTTTTGTATTTTCACTCCTTGATAACGAGGGTCAATAAGGTCTTTTTTTTCCCCATGCTCTGGTTTCTGTTTCTCTTGTCTTCCTGATAAGAAAGTCCCTGTATGTGGGAAGTCACTTAATAATTTTACACCATTTTCTGAGTTATTTACATGAGAATATAATTTCAACATTTCAAAGTTTCTATTATGCTGTGGTCTAATACAGTATCTATTACATCGCTATTTATAGAAGCTATACAGTGCATGCATAAACTGACAGATTATACTATATCAAAAGCAGGAATTACAGATGGTAATTCGTATTTGTAATAATCAGGATTTTTGTGATCAATAATAACTTGCAAAACAGAAGTTAATACATAAATGTGAAAGAGAGTAACTATATTTGTTATTTATAACATTATACAAAAAGCTCAAATGGGAAATCCAAATTGCCCTGGGCTCTTGGAAATCATCACAAACTGGCCTGAAGGTGACACTTTTGGACTGTCCTTTGAACAAGTGAGAAATGACCCTCACCTTTAAAATTTTACAGGTTTATTTAACCTTAACCAAAAAATACAACAATGGACAGAATAAGGAAAAATTACAGTGCTGGGGGTCTCTGTGACTGTCAGCCACGTGCTCATTTACAAAATGGATGCTCTGCCTTTTATACCCTCAGCCCTCCCAAAGTTTTGTCACTCAGCTCTCCCTCTGCCCCCACTGGTGGAGATCACTTCCCTACACCTTGACTGGAGCTCAAGTGTTGTCCTGTCGCCCCTGCTGGGGATGAGCCCCACATGCCCTGACTGCTGAGGCTGCTGCAAGGGGGAGGGAAAGGGCACTGTGGGAGGAGATATTACAGTAACAGCACTGTACATCTACAAAACTTCTCCTAACATACATGGAATATCTATCTCTTCATTGTGAGAGACAACCATCATCATATTATTCATCTAAAAAAAAACCTTTTTCTATGAGTCATTTGGTTTGAAGAATTGTCATTTTAAATTCTGATAATCTCTCCTTACTTCTCAAAAAAAATTTTTAATGAGTCATACTAGTATATGTTAATGAGGGTGAGGACAGTGGGAAGAGAAGGAAAAAAATCTCAGGTTTACTTAGTACAAACTTATTTGGAATGGACAAAATGAGATCACTGAGGTCTGGTATGGCTTTTTTACCCCATCTATCGTTCCTATGGGATTGCTACTCATGGCAGGCGTATCTTAGTGGTGAGTACAGAGGCCAACTCAGTCTTGCCTTCTGGTTCCTGTTGTATTAAAAGACAGCTGAGGAATGACAGAGGTCTGTTGTGGCTTTCTTCCCCCACCTTACCATGCCTGTGGGCTTGCTGCCTGCAGCAGGGCTATGGAATCTCCTCGGTGATGAACACAGGGGCAGCCTGGGCTTGTCCTCTATTTCTTGTTTCACTCTACTGGTTGGTCTTCATGGAAACTGCCCCAATACCTCTGATGGTTCACTCAACAGATGCTTGTAATTCTGATCTATTAAAACAGGACAATCACATCAATAAACAATACAGTTCAAACTCCCTGCCCAAAGTGTTAGCTAAAACAATCTTCAAGCTGGCTGGAAGCTCAACTCCCCTTTTCACACATCTTCAATCTCTGGTTCTCCCTCAGCTGGCCCTGTGTTACAGTCTATCCTTTGGGTTCTCTCACCAGCCTTTAACTCTGTTGCCCTCAATCCGCTCTCGCTCTGTGGCTGGCACAGCCCGTTCAGCTCTTAGGCAGAAGGATGCTTGCAAGCCCAAAGGATTTCTGAAGCAGCCCTAACCTGCAGCAGCTGGCTGCCATCCATCAAAAAGGAAAAGTGACTTGTGCAGCCTGAGGGAGCCAAGTGATCTGCTGGCAGGAGACATCAGGAATGGAGAAGGTGATTCCAGCTCTGCCCTTTGCTCTTCCTCCCCATTAGACAGGAGAGGATCCAGCACATTCCATCAGCCTTGGCTGCCTCAGGCCAGGAAATCCCCAAGGAGACAAGGCCACCTCAGGGCATCAGATCCCACCTGAGAGAAGGAAATGCTGAAAACCTCACCATGGTCTCAGCCACTCAAATCTTCCCCTTTCCCCCGAGCCCCTTCCCCAGAGCCCCCTTTCCCCTTCCCCCAGGCCCGTTCCCTGCCAACACGGCAATGCTGTTACAGCCCCAGCCCGGCCCCGCAGGCCCCGGGAACAGCCCCAGGGCAGCGTCGGGACTGTGCCCCCAGAGAAGCTGCCCGCAGCCATCGGGCACGGGGAAGGAGAAGCCCCCTCTCCCACCCAGCCACCCCCGGAGTTCCTAATGCTTGATAATTAGCACAGCTGTAACTCCTTAGGGGTGAGATTACCTTCATAACTATCTCTATTCTCCTATGTTCTTCTTATAAACTATGGAGAAAAGATGCTTTTTCCCTAGAACGCATAAAACTAGGGGGAGATGAAGGGTTCAAATTGATATCCAACAAAAGCCTCCATACTAAGGTAAGCAGATGTTAAAGTAGCTGTAATCCCATGAGAAGTTTGAACAGAGAGAGAAGAGTAACCCCGTACTCCCAGGAGAAGATTGATAAAAAAGCCTCCATACTAAGGTAAGCACATGTTAAAGTAGCTGTAATCCCATGAGAAGTTTGAACAAAAAGAGAGAAGAGTAACCCCGTACTCCCAGGAGAAAATCTCTATTCCCAGGGATGCAGATGATTTTAGAAATAAATAATAAGAACTTTTGCCTTTAACCACTCATCTTTAAAACAATACTCCATAAGTCAGCATGACCCATAAACAAGCTGTAGGAAGCCTTGCAGAAAATGAGAGAAGCTTCACAATAAATTTCCCCTGGGTGGCTGCTGTTTGTGACCAAATTAGGAACCAGGAGAAAACTGTCTTTCCTCTTGTGGAGAAGTCTCCATAACATCAACAAGAGGGACTTGTCTCCCTAAATGAATTGAATAAAGACTATCTTAGTGGTAGCAAACTAACTGGAAATTTTTGGTTTTGTTTCTTTACACTGTCAGTGGAAAACAAAAAGTTGTGGGAGGAGAAGTGTTCTACAAAAGGGTTTGCTTTAATTCTTGCTATTTTTTTTCCTTTTAGTTGAATAAAGACTATCTTAGTGGTAGCAAACTAACTGGAAATTTTTGGGTTTGTTTCTTCACATTGTCAGTGGAAAAGAAAAAGTTGTGGGAGGAGGAGAAGTGTTCTAAAAAAGGGTTTGCTTTAATTCTTGCTATTTTTTTTCCTTTTAGTTACTATTAATAACTAAATGTTTAGTTACCATTCATAACTATTTATACCCTTTTAAAGTTTTAAACCTGCTTTACCTTTCTCCTAATCCTCTCTCACAGCAGGAGATGAGTGCACTAGTGATTGACCAGCACCAAAAGCACTGCACAGCGCACTGCAAGACTTGGCTTTTTCAGGGAGAGGAGGGAGGAGCAGAAGCTTAGCAAAGCTTTGCCAACTTTGCATCCTCTCACAGAGAATAAAACAAAAGTGACTACACTGTTATGAATGAGGTCCTATATGTCTAATTTAATAAACCCCAAAATTAGAAAGACTACACTGTTATGAACGAGGTCCTATATGTCTAATTTAATAAACCCCAAAATTAGAATTTAGCAACAATTTTATATAAAATAACGCAATCAAATATAATCAAGAAGATACAAAATAATTTGGCAGTGGATCAGATAAGACATAAGCAAAACTGATCAACTGGGGTACAGGGAGGGTTTTCCTGCCTCAAGTACAACAGGCAAAAGGATCCAAACACAACTGATTTACTCTATGCTAATACATATTCATCAATATTTTCTGTAAATCCCCTCCTATTTTTGATTCTTGCAATCTACCTCACCACACTGCACAGCCCATGCTCCGCTTGTGGCTCAGGGCTCTTTTGGCTTCTCGGGGGTCTCTTCAGAGGAAGGCTCACTGTCTTCCTCACTGCCCTCTGAATAACCTGGCAGTTGTGCATGTGCATTAATTTTGTGTTATTAAGTAAGCATTATGTTCCAACTAAGCCTCATTATTTCATAGATAGGACTGCTATTTCAGATTCCACATTTGGAATCGTCCCAGCTTTGCTCATCCTCATCAGGCCGGTTCTGCTTTGGGAGTCGTCCCAAAGTTGTTTGTCCCAAGGCCAATTCTATTTTGGGATATTGCTTATCTCAAAACTCTATCCTCTGTCCTGTTTTCCCATGAACATCTGAAAACATCTGTTTTGTGACACTAATTACATATCCTTTTCCTCTATTGCTTTTTAACAAATATTCTCTAAAATATCGATATAGTTGCAATTGTTAGCATGAATCACATTCATTTATCACAATTTCCCCCATTTTCTCTTTTGATCGTATTGATTCATGTTTTTTATTAAAAGACTGAATCTCGGTATCTTCTACATCCCCAAAAATCCAGGTTTTCACATTCCCTCATTTCTCTTTTTGATCAAATTCGATATGTGGTGTTTTCACTTACATAACACAGGAGATAAAAAATGGTATAGGCAGTAATTCCAATAATGAGTCCAGCTAGCATAAACCACCAGATTTCCCCAATGGGGTTCCAATTTTAAACGGGTACAATTCACTTCTTTTGATCAACACTTTCCCATTGTTATTTGTTTTTAGACAGCATTTTGACATGTATTTTTCACAAACTCCTCTTTTTTTCAGCCATTAGATAGTGCAAGACCAATCTGCTCTGATAGGCTGCTACTAGCAGGTGCATGCTTTGTTGAGTAGCCAACTCAATTACCTCTTGCAGTCTTATCAACTGATTTAACACATAGTTAGGAGTTCTATATTCCCCGGATCTATTTTGAGTCCAAGTAGCCGGATTGTAAAAGTTTATGATCCTTTCTGCAGGCCATTCATTTTCACTCCATTTATAGCTGCCCCTTATCAAAAGGTTTCGGTTTGTCTTGTTATTGCCCGTGGCTTTATCAAGTGGCGCTGTCTCTAATGGCAGGGTGAAGGAGGAGGGTTGGGTAACTCCTAAAGTACACGTCCCTTTCCATCTCCAGGGTAAGTTACTGTACACTCACTCCACAAATCCAATATAGCCCATCAGGGGTCTTCCATGTTCTAGTTATATTGTCTGGTTGATTCCAATAGGGTTCTATGTTTTCCATGGAATGGTAAGGGTTAGCTCCAGAACTATCATAGCAGCACAGATTAATCTGATTGTCCCACTTGCAATCATTTCTCTTTGTTATCTTCCAATACCCATCAGTTTTATTTGGCCACCAGGTCCTAGTTCTATTATCTGAATTTGTAATTAAGGTAGATTTACAGGGGGTATGTCCCACCTCTTCAGTGTAGTTCTTTCCTTCTCGAGTTATACAAACTGCTCCAATTACCTGGTGACTTAAAGTCCACCCTCCAGGCTGTTTTATTTTCTCAGAAATTTGGGTGTATTTCCCTTTTTAAAAGTGTTCTGGAGCTAGACCTTCATCCCTCCATGGCCATCTTTCAGCCATTTGAGTTCCCCCACAAATCCAAGATCATGATAAACCCAACTCGGTTGTGATTTTTTGCATTAAGTCTACAAAAGATTTTTACCTGAGGTTGGCAAATCCCAGTTGCTATCTTGCTGCCTTCATTGGTTATACAACACCCTTGGATTTTTCCCTTTATTCTTACCTTGCTGGTTTTGTTCTGAATTTCCCCACTCCTCTCTTTTCAGGAAACACAGGAATTCTCCCTCTGTGGGGCAGTCTGGGCCGGAGGCGTCCATTGCCCTAATCCAGGATCAACTCCCACCCAACAGGCTCGGCCATTTCCATGGCAAGTTTCTAAACTTGTCTGGTTATAACATTCAGCATCAACAGAGGGATGTACTGCAAAAACAGTTACAGAACATTATTGTGGCTGTCCCATACCAGCTGGCAGCATTTATTGCAGGGGTTGCTAGATGCACAGGGTGTCAGGATACAGTCAGGAGCAGATATCTCAGGAGTCTGGGCTCTGCCTCTCTCAAGGCCCCTGGGGCTGCAGCCAAGGGCTGAGATAGAAATCTTCTTGGTAGCAGAGTCTGCATCCTGGAACCTCATTGCTGACACCATTTCTGCTGAGCCAGTCTCTGCTCTTACCCCTCAGATAAAATGATTACAGCACAGGATATTATTTTCTGTGTGTACCCCTGGCACACAATGATCACAGCACAGGATCCCATTTCTGTGTGTACCCCTGGCACACAAGGATTACAGCAAGGATCCCATTTCTGTGTGTACCCCTGGCACACAATGATCACAGCACAGGATCCCATTTCTGTGTAGACCCCTGGGTACAATGGTGATGGCACAGGATACTCACAGTCTGGAGGCACTGTCCTATCGCTTTCCCTGGGTTAATTGACAGTTCTTTTCTTATTAAATAAAAGGAGCTTCGGAGATGTGCTGACCACAGGTAATGCTTTAACACTCTTTTCTGTAAAACAAATACTAAAACAATCAATAAGTTAAGCAATACAAAAAAATAAAATTTTGTTATAAGATCTAACTTACTGGTTGATTTTACTCTGACTTCGGGGGTAATTACAAATCATCTTTGTCACCAGTAAGCACATTTGTGATGCCCATCTGTAGCAGAAACAAATCTATGGTGTGACTCATAAATTTCCACCCCCTGACTGTCGGTGATAACAAATTATCTGCTACAGAATGGCACACTTGCTCTCTTGCCTGTTCATAGGCTATTACAACCAAAACTCGTTGCTCTCTGTCCTCTGTTAATTAAACAGCTGCATTAAAGGTTCTATCTCTATTCCTTAAAGGAGTTCCTATAAAATCACTAAAAAGGCATGCTATTGTAAGCTGGTCACGTAAGCAGTTGAAGCAGGTTAAAGAAAGCAGTTGATTTTCCCCTTGTTCTATTTGGGTTACCTTCCACCACGAGTTAAACTGCACAGACAATACAAGTCCAGGGGTGACAGCCTAGGCCATGCCCAGCACAAGTCCAGTGGTCTGTTTCTTGCTGGACCCTGTTGCTGGTGTTAGTCCCTGATCCCAGTGTCTCAGGAGAGGCTGAATTCCTTCTTTGTGACGTTGTTCAGCCTCTGAACACAGCGGGGTTACTCACCCCAGTGATGCCAGAATTGATGGCAAGCTGGTGTTTGAGCAAAGGTTAAAATTTAATTTACAAAATTACCAAGTTGTGGTACAGGAGCAGGTGGTTTGTTGTCTTGCAAGGGTACGTTTTTCATCTGCAGTCAAGCTGGTTTATGTGTTCCAACTGAGCTCACTACTGTGCAACTTATCAGTGTGTTTACACTCCAGATACAACCCTGATGGAGGATAACCATATAAGCCACAATGTTTTTACAGCTTCCCCTTACAACAGTCACATTCAAACAACAAGTGTAAGCAAGTAGTTAAAGCTTACAATTAGTAGCTTGCATTAAAAAAAAAAATTCTGGTTGACATAAACCATACTTTTTAGCTAGCCTCTGTGTGTACCCCTGGCACACAATGATCACAGCACAGGATCCCATTTCTGTGTGTACCCCTGGCACACAATGATCACAGCACAGGATCCCATTTCTGTGTGTACCCCTGGCACACAATGATCACAGCACAGGATCCCATTTCTGTGTGTACCCCTGGCACACAATGATCACAGCACAGGATCCCATTTCTGTGTGTACCCCTGGCACACAATGATCACAGCACAGGATCCCATTTCTGTGTGTACCCCTGGCACACAATGATCACAGCACAGGATCCCATTTCTGTGTGTACCCCTGGCACACAATGATCACAGCACAGGATCCCATTTCTGTGTGTACCCCTGGCACACAATGATCACAGCACAGGATCCCATTTCTGTGTGTACCCCTGGCACACAATGATCACAGCACAGGATCCCATTTCTGTGTGTACCCCTGGCACACAATGATCACAGCACAGGATCCCATTTCTGTGTGTACCCCTGGCACACAATGATCACAGCACAGGATCCCATTTCTGTGTAGCCCTCCTGGGTGTAATGATGATGGCACAGGATACTCACAGTCTGGAGGCACTGTCCTATCGCTTTCCCTGGGTTAATTGACAGTTCTTTTCTTATTAAATAAAAGGAGCTTCAGAGATGTGCTGACCACAGGTAATGTTGTAACACTCTTTTCTGTAAAACAAATACTAAAACAAGCAATTAGTTAAGCAATACAAAAAAAAAATTTTGTTATAAGATCTAACTTACTGGTTGATTTTACTCTGACTTCGGGGGTAATTACAAATCATCTTTGTCACCAGTAAGCACATTTGTGATGCCCATCTGTAGCAGAAACAAATCTATGGTGTGACTCATAAATTTCCACCCCCTGACTGTCGGTGATAACAAATTATCTGTTACAGAATGGCACACTTGCTCTCTTGCCTGTTCATAGGCTATTACAACCAAAACTCGTTGCTCTCTGTCCTCTGTTAATTAAACAGCTGCATTAAAGGTTCTATCTCTATTCCTTAAAGGAGTTCCTATAAAATCACTAAAAAGGCATGCTATTGTAAGCTGGTCACGTAAGCAGTTGAAGCAGGTTAAAGAAAGCAGTTGATTTTCCCCTTGTTCTATTTGGGTTACCTTCCACCACGAGTTAAACTGCACAGACAATACAAGTCCAGGGGTGACAGCCTAGGCCATGCCCAGCACAAGTCCAGTGGTCTGTTTCTTGCTGGACCCTGTTGCTGGTGTTAGTCCCTGATCCCAGTGTCTCAGGAGAGGCTGAATTCCTTCTTTGTGACGTTGTTCAGCCTCTGAACACAGCGGGGTTACTCACCCCAGTGATGCCAGAATTGATGGCAAGCTGGTGTTTGAGCAAAGGTTAAAATTTAATTTACAAAATTACCAAGTTGTGGTACAGGAGCAGGTGGTTTGTTGTCTTGCAAGGGTACGTTTTTCATCTGCAGTCAAGCTGGTTTATGTGTTCCAACTGAGCTCACTACTGTGCAACTTATCAGTGTGTTTACACTCCAGATACAACCCTGATGGAGGATAACCATATAAGCCACAATGTTTTTACAGCTTCCCCTTACAACAGTCACATTCAAACAACAAGTGTAAGCAAGTAGTTAAAGCTTACAATTAGTAGCTTGCATTAAAAAAAAAAATTCTGGTTGACATAAACCATACTTTTTAGCTAGCCTTTGGTACACATTGCACATCATCTCTTTGCTATAACACGTAATTACCTTGATAAACAAAACAAATAACACATATTAAACACTCACACACTTATCTTGGCCAAACTACATAAAACATACATTCATTACTATAAAAACTTTTACCCCAAAGCTAGCCTTTGGTACACACTGCACATCATCTCTTTGCTATAACACATAATTACCTTGATAAACAAAACAAATAACACATATTAAACACTCACACACATATCTTGGCCGAACTACATAAAACATACATTCATTACTATAAAAAACTTTTACCCCAAATTATTTATTTTTATAATTTCAAATTGTAATCCAAATATTGGAATAATATACTTCAACAAAATTTTGGCTACTGTTTGAGCTGTAGCCCGAGCCACAGGGAATACTTCTGCCCATTCAGTCAATTAATAACGAATAGATATTTCCCCCTGCCCACTCTGGGTAATTTGGTAAAATCAGTCTGGATCCTTCTAAATGGCTGTACACTGTACAGCAGCCCCAGAGGGATGAGTCCTCAACACCTTTTTGTTCACCTTTTAATATGTGAAATGTCCCTGAGTAATTTGTTTTCTGATTTCAAATATTCCATATACCCATAAAATTTTAGAAAATGATCACAAAGTGCTCCTGTTCCTCAGTGAGTCTGTCAGTGTCTGTCTAGCTAAGGGTTTCAGCCCTACCATCAGGGAGAATCTATTGCCCCCCTTTCACAGTTTCCCCTGACTTCTTTATGACTGCTAACCCTGCTAAGGAAAAGTATGGTGTTTTATTCTGTGTTTCTGCTTTCCAAACAGGCATAATTACACTGCTGTTTTCTCTCAAGGCAACTTTTTTGCTTCATCGTCAGCCAGTTAGGAGAGGTTATAGATAGCCTCATATTTTACTACTGTTTTAACTGTTTGTACAACTCATTCAGTTCCTCTTATCTTTTCCTGTGGTCTTTTTTAATATCAATTTTTGTTTCCTTTTCTTTTTCTTCTATTTTCCCCTCTAATGCTATATCTCTTATATTTATATTTGGATAATTTTCATTTTCGTCTTTCTCAAAACAAATAAATTTTTGCTATTGAGTACAAATTTGATTGCTATAAGCATAAGAAGCTCGTTGAATCCTAAATTTTCCCCTACCCAGTACGTTTTTCTATTTTTAACACACACACCTGTGAAGCTGCTGGGATTGTGCCAGGCAGCACTAACAGATGGATGTGCCACTAACACAGGGCCCACATTGTCCCCGACCTCCACAAAGTGTTTGCATTTGTCACAGGATCGGAGTTATTTGGGCTTTGTTTTTGCATATTCGTTTTCTCAGTTTGCTCTCGCACACACTGTTTTCTCATCTCTTGTTGCTGCATTGCTTCTTCCCTATTTTTTGAACTTTGTCCCATGCAGTTTTATGGTTTTTGCCAGTTGCCAGGGCTATCATAACAAGCACAATGAGAATAACCAATCCCTGGTGCATTAATCCTTTTCCTTGAACTTTCATAAGTCCCCTTTCTTTCCAAATTTTTCTAGAAGTGTGTACTACTCCAAAAGCCTATTTCAAGTCCGTGTATATATTCCCTTCGCAACCCTTTAATAGCAACACACAGAATAATGCAAGCCCAGGATGGGCTAAGGGGACCAGACTCCTTTCCTTGTAGTTTTTCTCCACTAATTATCGCATTCTTAGATTTTCTTTCTAATTGTGAAAAACGCCAATCACTTGTTTTTGAAATTTTAAAAGTTTAATAGTAATAAAATGGTTATAAAAATAGTAATATAATTAAAATAATAAAATTTGAACATTTGAGGTTAGGACAATATGAGACAATAAAAACAAAGAGATGCGGACGTCCGGGTACCTTTTTCTGAGCAACACAAGCCCAAAAAAGGACCCTCGTTAACAGAGGATTAGCCCTTAAAAACAATCGCCTGTTGCATATTCATACATCTCATACATGATGCATAAATTCCATTCAAACACAGGATTCTGTCTGGTCACTGTCAACTTCTTCCTCTTAATCCTCATGCCATCTTCCAGTCTGAGTGAGGTGGGAAGAAGTTAGTTTTCTGCTGATAAGGGAGCAATAAATTCCCTTTTTCTGAAAGATTTAGGTGTCCTGTGGCTCCTATCTGGAGTCCTTTCTTAAACAAATATCTTGCATAGCATAGTTTCTATTTTAACATTATGTTATAACCTAAAACTATTTTTATGAAAATTAATACAGCATAACTTTCTAACATACACATACAATATTCATTTTAATACTTGTGAAAAGCCAATCATAAAATACACATTTTTCACACTATCTATCACTCGAGATGATCCTTCTAGAAATAATTTTTCTCCTCT